GCATTCCGTGACTCTTAAATTCAGCTAAATGAACTCAATTGCCTCATTCCTCCAAATTTAATCAATCCATAGTGTAAGGAATAATTTATGTCCAGGAAAAGGCAAACGGCTGATCATTTGTCACGTAGGTAGTGAAGACGGCTTTGTTCCCGAAGCACTGTGTGCCTTTGAATCAAAAAAGACAGGGGACTATCATGAGGACGGCAATTCCTTTGAAAATTGGTTCTCCAAAATGTTACTAAAGCTGGAGAATAACGCTGTTATTGTACTGGATAATGCCCCGTACCATTCTAGAAAAATAGAAAAAATTCCCACAATGGCAACTAAAAAAGCAAACATACAACAATGGCTGGCCTCAAAACAGATCGATTTTGATGAAACAATGGTCAAGGGTGAATTGATAAGTATAGTCAATAGACATAAATACAAATACGATTTTAAAATGATCGACGAAATGGCCAAAAAACAAAATAAAACTGTCTTGAGACTGCCACCCTACCATTGTGAGCTGAACCCTATTGAGCTGATTTGGGCCAACATAAAGCAATACGTGGCGTCGAATAATAATACTTATAAATTTTCTGATGTTAAAAATCTCTTTCACATCGCAGTCAATAGAGTTACGGCAGAGGAATGGAAAAACTGTATCCGCCACGTTCGGGAGAAGGTTGAGGTCAAAATGTGGGATTTGGACAATGTCATCGATACCCAAATTGAACCTATAATAATTCATTTAAACGATTCAGAAGATTCAAGTTCCTCTTCTGAATGAGTGCGCGCAGCTTACTTACTAATAACTAAAAAGTGTAGTTAACTCATTTGTGAATCTCTAACTGAAATTTACTGTAAAAGATAATAATTATCTTGTATGAAATTTTTGATGACTACCCATAATATCTTGATGCGGTCCTGTAATGTCTCCTGCGCCTAAACACTCACTCACGAGCAATATGCGTGTATTTGTTTGGGTTTAGTTTCTTTCTTCAGCGCCTAGAGTATAAATTATCGATATCTGTTGACGACATTCTCGCGAAATTTTGTAATTGTATTGGATCTTCAACTTTTAGCTCATTAATTAACTGAGTGTAAGCCGCTGCAGTACTTCTTCTCAATAACCATTTCTTCACCCACACTTCCTTTTTCCTTCTTTTTTTTATCGTCCAATAATAAAATTATTATTGCAGCCGCCTGACGTTTACTACAAGCCATACTAAAATTTTAACGGAAACTAGACGGTAGAAGGACAGAAAAAGTGTCGAGAGATCTTAATTCTCTATGTGTCTCAACAGAACAGAAATTTATATCAGAATTTCCTCTCAACTAGAGGTATCAGGTATTTTATTGCGTGACACTTATGTCGTTGTGAAAACTTGCAAGGAAATTTATTTCTCGATACCTGAGATATCTATAATGATATAAATCTCTAGTATAAACGTACCTTAAAACAAAATACTGAAATTCGGTATTACAAACTACAAATTTGTTGCTTGTCCGTTTTCGCCGAGTTCTGTCATGGTCCAGTCATTATTGGTATCGGTATCAATCAAAACGCTGAACCTCCGCTCAAATCAGTTTTTTTGTAAATATAGCTCTTTTAGACATACTATATTGATTAATGAATCATTTCTGATAGTCTTAAAACAGGATTAACGCAAAATAATATCTTCTTATATCTACGGTGGCTTAGGGGAGATCGAGGGGATTTGAAACAATTTTGACATTTTGTTTCATAAACAAAATACTATAGACAGAAATCGTATGATATTAGTGCCTATCGATAGATCATTCTTTACACTTGCGAATGACTAACTTATAGAAATTGTAAGCGTTAAATATTGTGGTGAACCGTAAAGCATCCCACAAACCGGCGCGAAATAATCGCGGCCAAGTATTCGCAACGAAATTCAGAGCGAAATTCGCAATCTGTTTCGCCTGTTTATTCATACATATATACATATACATTCTATTTCTTGCTTTAGAAGAGGAACAGAATGCACGGTAAGTTATGTTTATTTAACGCCATTTGATAGTTGGGTATGTATTAAGTTTAACGAAGTACATAAAACAAATATTTTCAATTTTGATTAGGAAACGAAGGAAGTGGGTACATGATATTAACTTGGAACGAAATAAATTTGGGGAATACCATACCTTGATGCCACAACTTCGGTTGGATGAACAGCGCTTTTACGTATATTTTAGAATGACTCCAGAGTGTTTCGATGAAATATTGAACTTGGTGAAAGATGAAATACGAAAATCTGACACAAATTATCGTGAAGCTATTTCGCCAGAAGAACGACTTGCTATTACACTCAGGTAAAAAAATTATATGTATTAAAATTAGTAGGCTTATCGAATACGAAAACTTCAGGGATCGTGAAATAAATATTTCATTGTAATAATTGGCCTACATGTTGCCACTAGGATTAAATGTTGCTAAATAATTCGAGGCAGAATTTGCCTCCTCTGTTGGGTATATTATTGGAGTAAACCCAGTGCCGCTTGGGAAGGACGACATACTACTATCATACATACTTGCAGAATTCTGGGTAGACGCTGAAGACATTTCTTCAATATGTTCAAATTCTTCGTGCGCTATTAATTCGGCTATTTTTAGTTTTATTGGGGCTTGACGCTTTAAGAGAAGTGTTTTCACAGTCTGTGCATGTGCCAAGAAAAGTGAATCATTGGCCTCGTTCTCTTTTTTAGGTTTTTTACCTTCAAAATAATTAATGAGCTGTTGTACAGACGAAGATGGTGGTTCATAGCGTTTTCTGCTCGTTTTATATTTTGGTGTAGTTGCAGTCTGCGGAAAGGTGTGCCCTGGAGTAGTCACTGCTGTAATGTTCAATGAAGAAGGTGGTGCTGTCTGTGTTGCCGAGGCGTTCTGTGCATCTTCTGCATCTACATCAGCATTTTCATCTTCTCCATGGCCGCGGTCTTCCAAATTTTCGGTTTCTACATTTCCAGCCCTTTCCTGATATATATTTGAGTTAAATTCGGCAGTCTCATAATGTATGACGTCAATATCTTTCACATTAGACGACGATTTGGCAAATGCCAAAAAAGGACAGAAAAATTCCATGTAGTCAGCCCACTGCCATTTCTTTATGTTGCCCACTGCTTGGCCGGTCTTTGGTTTGGTAGATTTTATATATTTTGCAAATGTGTTTCTGATATTCTTCCACCTTTTCTTTACTTCATCACCTAAAAACGATTTTTTTATAGATTCCTTGCCACTGGTGACACCTTCTATACCATTGGGCATAGCTTTCGAGTTGGCTTTACAACAGTGAGTGCAATCGTAACCGAAGTCTGTGAAGCGATATGCAGACATATGGAACATATATATTTACCAGAACCAACAGAGAATATATGGAAAAAATGTGCTGAAGAATTTGAAAATAGATGGGGATTTCCCAATTGCATTGGCAGCGTGGACGGTAAACATGTAACAATCAAGAGACCTAACAACAGTGGCTCCAATTACTGGTGCTATTTACATAAATATTCAATAGCCATTGTTGGCCCGGACTATAAATTTATATGTGTTGATATTGGTGGTTTCGGAAAAAATAGTGATGGGGGTATTTTCGAAACCTCAAACATGAGAAAACGATTTGAACAAAATTTAATGAGTATCCCTGCACCTAGATTTCTCCCTGGGCAAAATGAAATCTGCTCGTACGTCTTAATTGGTGATGAAGCATTTGCTTTAAAACCATACCTTATGAGACCATTTCCTTATAAGCAGACTTTAACAGACGTCAGAAAAGAGAAATATAATGTAAGACTTTGTCGAGCTAGAAGGGTCGTGGAAAATGCGTTTGGTATTTTGTCTCAAACATGGCGAATATTTTACAGGCCATTAGAAACTAAAGTAGATACTACTATTCTAATTGTACGTACGGCATGTGTTTTACACAATTTTTTACGAAGTAAAAGTGGCGATGACAAATATTTTCAATTCTTAGATCCCCCAGAATCCGTGCTTGGAGCTTTTACAGATATAGCAAATGATCCTCGGCAGGCAGCAAGGCTAGCATTTTCTACTCGTGACAAATTCGTAAATTATTTTAATTCTGATATGCCTATGCCCAATATATAGAATGTTCGTTTTCACATTTGTGTAGACTGTAAATTATTTAACAAGCTAATAAAAAATATTAGGTACATACCATTTGTATTTAATTCTTTTCCTATTTCCATCCAAATCTTGTCTTTCTTTCTCACATTCCTGTATTCATCGTTCGACAAATCATACAAACAAGGATACTTTTTCACTATTTCTATCAATAATTCCGTTTTTCCCATTGCGAATTTTTGAAGAACGGCGTCAAAAACGCGGTCAAAGGCGAACTGAAATACGCCGCGATAAAAACGCTGGAACAATTGCATTCGCTTCGCACAAGTCTGAGCCTGTCCGTAAACCGCCGCATTTTAATCTGATCGCGAATTCATCGCCGCGAAATTTTCGCAGTCAAAGCGAATATTTCGCGCCGGTTTGTGGGATGCTTAACAAGCCAACTTGTTTCAACTGCCCTCATACCGAGGTAAGATGAAGCAGGGGTCGAGGAGAGTCGGAAGATGATTTTTGAGAAGTATTAAAGGCTATGAAATGACAATGATGATATAATTCAACGGCAGTTATTAAAATAAAACTTTTCAACTGAAAAACAACTTTTTTTATCAATATTTTGTACTGATATTTCAGCCAAGTAGGTAGCTACAGGCCTAATACAAATAATGAACTCCTTAAGTAGTTAAAAGTACCATAACGTTCTATTCGAACGATTAATCAAAATAACAATCAGATAAATATAATGTTTTATACGCAGATAATTCTTTGACATAAAATACTTATTAAATTTTAAGTATTACAATCAGTCTTGATCAATATTTCTTCAAATACTTAAGTCAACAATAATCTCATAAATGTCAAAAATATAAATACTATGAAAATAAAAAACGTTAATCTGACAAACAATTGTGGCAAACATAAGTGCAGGCTTCATGAGCCCAGTTTTTGCACTCCAGACATTGCACCCATTTTTCTTCAGCTCTGCTATTTGAATGTGGCAACAAAGGCAGGAGGATTCTTCTTCTTCTTCGTTGTCTTCGTTTTCTCTTTGTTTCTTGACAACCTTGTTCTTTTTAGTTTCAGTGTCTGGTTTTGATCTTTTTCTTGTTTTTGTTTCTTCATGGTTAGGTTTTTTAACTTGTTTCTTAACCGTTCTAGATGCTTCCATTGCAGCTAGTTCATCCTTTACAGGAGTGTTGGTTAAGATAGCGGATTTCACTTTGCGTCTATTTGTTTGATATCCTTTCCTTGGTGAAGCCGTTGGCAAAGACCTCAGACTTTCAGGCGAGAATGAAATTACTGACACAGTAACTGAAGTACCTCGTGATGTAGATGCTACAGGTATTATATCAGATATAAAGATTGTGGAGGAATCAACGGATTCAGTGGTTGAAGGCATGGTGGCAGTATTAAGCATTACTTCGGATATCGCCAGATCAGGTGAATTCTTATCAGGGTTTTCTGTATATTTGGGTACGTTTTCTGTTTCGTAGCTGATTTGAGGAGGAACAACCGGTAAATTTAAGATTGATGGACTTCGCGTACGAGAATCATGTAAAATACTATTTGCAAGCGGACAACCACCACTTGTGCTAGAAGTAGGACATAGCCCGGGCTCTTCACTTCTTGAAATTATCATCAAGCTAAACTGTATCCATCGAAGAAACAAAGTAAAGTCAAACATATACACCCGTATTGCACGTGATCAAGAACTTAACCGTAGGAGACGCTACAGGGCCGTATCAAGCTATTGTGACTGATCTATCAAAAAATGTCGTACAAGATATGTGTTGCTGTAAATTCTATCAAAAGCATAGTAAATTATCAGGAATATACCACGCCTTTCTAATCATATTTCGACATTAGGAATCAGTGCAAAAAATTCTGTATTCACCATTTCAGAAAAATGTTACTAAAACGCACACGAAAAAAACTTGTGGACCATCTCAATTGAAATTGTTCATATTTTATTATTAACTTACTTATATACCCAATAATATTTACAAATCAACCTTCTATTCACAATGCAGAGCAAATTTTTTTGAGCAAATAGAAACTACAGACGTAGTAGTAGTACAAAAGTTTATTACAGACTCCATAAAGTTTGTTAGTTTGATTGCTATTAAAATTTACATGAGAAATAGGAAGAAGGTCAAAATGGCACTATTATGCTTTGGAACTCCTAAATTAACCCTAATTTTGTGTAATTATAAATTTGGAATTTCCACATTAATAACTAGAAACTTACACTTTGATTGCAGTCTATAATGAACTTACCTGTCTTGCCAAAAAGCCCGTTAAACTGCCAGTCTTAATGGTATCAATCGATTTATATGCTGTATTCCGAGGAGCTTGAATCATCAGAATTGTTGATGTCAATTATAAGGGGTTCAACTTGGGTGTCAATGATTATTGTCCATATCCCACATTTTGGTTTCAACCTTCTCTTGGACATGGTCAATACATGTTCTCCATTTTGCTGGCGTAATTCTATCGACAGCAACATCAAACAGTTTTTTAAGGCCAGAAAACTTAAAAGTGCTGTTATTTGACGCCACGTATTGCTTGATGTCGCCTCAAATCAACTCGATAGGATTCAGTTCGCAGCGATAGGGAGGCAGCCTGAGAATCGTTTTATTTTGGTTTTTGGCCATTTCGTCAACAATTTTTAAATCATATTTATACTTATGTCGCTTGACTATATTTATCAGCTCAGCTTTGACCATTGTTTGGTCGAAGTCGATCTTCTTTGAGACAAGCCACTGTTGAATGTCTGCCTTTTTGGTGGCCATTGTTGGAATTTTTTCCAATTTTCTGGAGTGGTACGGGGCATTATCCATCACAATAATTGCGTTATCATCAAGTGTCGGCAAAATTTTTCTGAACCAATTTTCAAATGAGTTACCATCCATTTCTTCGTGATAGTCTCCAGTTTTTTTGGATTCAAATGCCCACAATGCTTCAGGAACAAATCCATCTAAGCTACCTATGTGGCAAATGATCAGGCGTTTTCCCTTGCCTGAAAGTAATTAGTTATTTTACTTCTCAGCGAGCGCACTAAATGACGAAATTAAGCAACTTACTCTTTTTAGGTTAGTGTAGGATAGGGTCCAAATCATTGATTCGATCAGAAAATGAATTATCTGCATCCAAAAAAGTTCATATACTTCTAAACTTACCTGCAGGATTTTTCAATCCCGTCGAAAGGCCATCTAAAAAAGCCTGCCTTAAGGACCTCACAGATCTGTCTACCCAAACCTTTCCCTGCGTATGCCCCGCGTTCACCCATGTTTCGTCTAAATAATAAATTTTTCTTCCTTCAGCGCGGAATTGCCTAATTTTTCTAAGGTATTCTCTCCTCCAGATAACAATTTCCTCCTTTTCTATCAATAAATTATTCCTTCCTCTTTTCAAAAATCGAAAGTCTAGTGCTTTCAACAGCTTATGGAACGTAGATCTTTTAAAATTTGGCAGGTCCTCATCATCATTCACTTGCTTCAATATTTTATCTATTGTAGGTATTTCATTCCTGAAGAAAAAGTGATGTACTTTTATTCTAATGGCACTTTTGTCAAAGTCATCTATTTTTTCGATGATTTTTTTTCTCGCTGGATATGTTTTTGGCTCAGATAGTGAGTGATTTTGTCTATATTCCTTCAAGATTTTGTAAACACTTGATCGACCTACTCCAGAAATTTCAGCAACCTTACATACGATATTTTCTATAGCCAATCCACTATTCTCTTGCATCTGGTTCTTGTAGATATTTAGAATAATTTGTTTTTCACCTGCGCTAAGATGAAGCTTTTTAGCCCTTTTTCTGGGTGGCGTTAAGCTGATTTCAACCACTTCATCAGCTGTATCTGTGTCAGACATTTTAGACTAATATTAAATTTCCGCAAGAAAAATCAAGTCAAGACGTGCATAAAACGTTCGCGCTCATAAACGGGTATCCGTAACTGATTACAATCCTGTGCGTGGTGACGAACCATCAACGTGACGCTGAGAGTTCCCTCTACTATGCAGCGTTGCCAGGCTTAATGTCACAATGATCATGTTTTATTGGGAAAATTGTCAGAAATCGCCGAATGTTGAACAGAAACATTACAAGAAGTCTAACCTTTAAATGTGAGGCTACAAATCGATATTCTTATAGGGGGGAAGGGTAGGGAGCTGTTATGGTTCCTATTAACCTTGGTGAAAGTTGGAAACGGTAATATCATATATGGCATACATTCGGTTGAAGGTGTGTGCCGGAAAATAGATTGCGGATGGGATTTTAATAGATAAATCTGCACAAAAAAACACAAAAGGAGATTTTTGTATTTCCCTGAAGAATATCTCAAGGTTATTTCAGATGTACTCATCGAAACTTTATGGAAGGATTATCGAAACCTTATTTTCAATTGCGATAGCGCCACATACCTCGACATCGCATTAATGTGAAAAATAAGACAATAGAAAAAAATTCCCTCACTGATGCTATCTCTTAGGAAAAATTTAACTACAAAATTGCACAAAAATTTTCTTCACCTTTTTGAGCTTGTTTTCGCATCTCCGTATATGCCGTTCATAATTTGCTGCAGATCAAATTGGAATATACCTTTGTGATGCCATTTATTGTTATATAATGTCCTTTACAACAGTTATTGCACGTATTGCACCAACAGATTGATTTGTGATCCATGCGAATGTGATCAACCACTCTGGCGAAAACTCGCCGAGCGTGGCAACCGTGCGACTTTGTCTGGAGGCTCGTCGCTACAAGCCAATCAGAGGCCAAGAGGCCGACAGAGCGCCATGGCTACCGATCACGCGTTGATCACGAATCAACCACTGTTTACGATTACTTTGTAGCTTCGTTAGATACACTTTAGAGCTAGATGGACCTGGAATAACGGAAGTTGCCAAAGGTCGATTAGTAACTTAGCTCGGAAAATAACCAGCGTCCTGGAATATTTCATTGTTAACTGACCAAAGTCCGGTATGGATGAATCCGGAAGATATATTGCGCGGTGTGACGACTATATCAAATGATGTTTTCACTATCCCTGGAGCATCGTAGGTGGTCATTACTTTTCTTGGGTTAGACTGCATCCAATTATCGCAAGCAGTATTGACTGCTTTTTTCGCTGGCCCAAAAACGGCTCAGTCCATTGGCTTAGGATTATGCCATTTTATTTGCAGAGCTAGATATGTTTAACTGCTAGGTGTGAAGCGTGGTTGTCCAGTAACAACAGTGCTTTATTTTCTTTTGATGGCCTGATTTGGTCTTTCAAATATTTAAGAAATATATAGAAGTCTTCTTGCATCCACCCTGACCCATTTGCAGTGCCAATTGAACCTGTAGGTCCATCGCGTATAAAGTGATCATGAAATCTTTTCCGCGGAAAGATGAACATCGGGGGTATGTTGTTCCCAAGGGCATTTCCTGCTAGTGCTATAGTAACCAATGTTCCCCTCTCTGCGGAAGTCATGGCACTCACTTGTTTCTGTCCTCGTCTGGCAATAATGCGGTCTGATTTCTAACCAGTTGTGATGCCAGATTCGTCAACGTTCCATATATCTCTTGTAATTTGTGTTTGTCAACTACTGTGGTATAATGAAAAAAAGGTTGCACGTTCGTTCTATTAAAACTTTTAGCTCGAGCGATAATTGTAGGTTGAGGTAGTCTCTGAGAAAGAACTGGATGATGTTTCATAAAAGGCCAAAGTCATACCTCTCCAGCCATTCCATGCTCCAAGTCCAAGAAGGAGGAATTTTTTTATTGTATACTACAGTCAACCTATATGCAAAAGTTCTGGCTTCCTTAGTTCTTAAGCCAAAGTTAGCAGCAGCGCAGTTTAAAAGATAGTCACAGAGTATCTTCACCTCTGAAGCTGTAAAAACAGTTTTTTTCTGGATATCCAACCGTTGGAGCAGTCGTCGTTCCGTTAGCTTCGAAGGCAGTTTTTTTTAATACACCTGTAGAGGGAGGTATGGTTCAGGTTGTAAAACGAAGCCGCGTCACGGAGACCTTTCTGTCGCAAAGTTACTTCTTCTGCTGCAAGATCATATATTTTGCGACTTGCAATACCTCTGTCAGTCTTTTTTTATAATCACTAGGCATTCTGAAACAAAATTAACAAATTAAATAAAAATATAAGTCAGTTTTTCCGTGCCCGTTATTTATTGACTGTCTGATATAAAATTGAAAACATCCTGTTTCAAATCTCCTCAGAAAGACAAACCTCCAAATTTTTATCTAATCCACAATCAAGAAGCAAATACCAAATATATATATAATAAGTCTTAAGTTATTGAGCTTTCGAAACATACATAACTTAAACCAAAGTACAAAACCTTTATCAAAATATAAGCATCGGAAGAAAACGTTTAAAACTTACTTTTCACGATTTTTTTCACTTGGAACACAGAACTCCACAACCGCGCGACTTGCGCCACCGACGCGAACTGACACGTCTGCGGGCGGAAGGAAGTAGTTGAAAAGCGACGTTGCCACTCGCTAACGGCTTTAGGTTCCGAGAAATCGGTACTTCAAATCACCTTTGTTTCAAATCCCCTCGGTCCCCCCTACTGAATATCTAAAACGAAATCTTGTAGGGCGAATGTGCGAGTAATCCGGACACTACCAGTACTCAGTCAAATATACTAAGTGACATATAAATCCGAACACCCAGTTTAAATGGTTTTATTTTGATAAAAGTTGGTGAATGTATTTATCTTACTGTAAATAACAAGTGAAAAAATGTTCAGCCTTATCAGTTGGACATTCCGGTTTTTATACTGCTTTTTTTTAATTCACTAACGCTCTAAAAATGAATATTTCAGCCGCAGTAAAGAATCAACGTTGGCGGATTTTGGATCTTGACATCCTTTACGATCGGTTACGATGCCTAGAGTACGGAGACCTGTACGATTTCGTCAACTTAGTGAGTTTGATAGGGGCCGTATAGTGGGACTTCGGGAAGCTGGACCTTCTTTTCGGGCAATTGCAGTTAGAGTGCAAAGAAGTGTAGACACTGTGGTTAGGTGTTGTCAGGCATGACTTCGAGAAGGCCGTACGCAAAGAGCAAGGGGCACTGGACGCCGCCGTAGAACAACAGACCGTGAAGATCGCCGCCTAAGATTATTGGCCTTAAGGGACCGTTTCTCCACTACCAGGTCCATTGCAAATAAATGGTATTGCAGAACACGGAAGACCTATTGGTATTGCGAAGTGTTTACCGACGAATGAGAAGTTTTGGCTTGTTTTCATACCGGCCACACTGGGTCCTCCCTTTAACTCGAGAACACCGACGTAATCGCCTTGAGTGGTGCAGACAACGGTCACTCTGGGATCTGGAATGGAACAGTATTGTCTTTAGTGACGAGTCTCGATTTTGTTTAGGCATGCACGATGGTCGTGCCAGGGTTAGAAGGCGACGTGGTGAAAGGAGGAATCCACAGTTTTTTGTTGAAAGACATGTTCATCACACTGTGGGAGTTATGGTTTGGGGTGCTATAGCTTATGGTTCCAGGTCACCTTTAATCTTCATCAGAGGTAACATGAACGCGCAGCGTTATATCCACGAAGTTCTAGAACCCCATCTTTTACCCTATCTTGACACCCTGGCAGATCCAACTTTCCAACAAGATAATGCCCGACCACATGTTGCAAGAGTCACAATAGACTTCTTTCAACATAATGATGTCACATTGTTACCATGGCCACCAAGATCTCCCGACTTATCCCCAATTGAGCACGTGTGGGATATGATGGGTAGGAGATTGCTCAATTTGCAACGTCCTCCTCAGACTCTAGAAGCACTTCGAGAGGAGTTGGTGGTTGCCTGGAATGAGATACCACAGGAGGACACTGACCACCTGATCAGAAGCATGCCTAGGCGCGTTGGATAATGCGTAGCACATCAGGGTGCATCCACACATTATTAAAGGTCAAAAGGCTTTAAAGCAGTGCAATCATTTTGAAATTTTTATCATTTACTTATTATGCTTCATTAAGTACTTATACAAAATTTTATTAAAATAAAACCATTTAAACTGGGTGTTCGGATTTATATGTCACTTAGTATATTATATTATTGGTAAAAACTGGAATATTTGAAGTCTTAAACTTGCTGGTAATTGGTACCAGATTTATCAACTAATTTGTGATAGCTTACAAAAAATTCACAGTCACAGTTGTCATATTGACAACAGAATTAGTGCGTTGAAAACAGCATGCTCTTTGATAGAGGCTGCCGAAGCAACCAAAACGCCACTAACATGTCTATTCAACATATGTGATTCGATTTAATGATCAAGATAAGAGAAGCGAATGGAGCATATATCTTTTAATAAGATCGTCCCAAGTATCCAACCTTTTACAGTAGATTTAAATTTAAGCTTCTACTATTGCAATTAAAACAAATGTAGTTATTGCTGTGCGGTACAGTCACAGGTAAAATTCATAAAAACTTTCTTCCATGTCATTAAAACTTCTGGAATTATACTTAAACATCAGCAAAATTCGTATAAACCAAACGAAAATAAGCTATTTTAGAGTGAGAGTGACCGATCCGGCTCGCCAAGATAAAAATCCTTCATTCACTATTTTAAAATAATGGGTGATTTTTTTGCTAGTATCTTTTTGGCAACACTGTTTTTGACAGACGACGCGTGAATCGTGTCTTGTGTCATTGTCAAACTTGTTCAGTTTGGTCTATAATTTAGCTATGAATCGACTTACGAACGAACAACTCTTGCAAATTATTGAATTTTACTATCAAAATTCATGCTCGGTTAAGAGAGTGCATTGAGCACTGCTTCCAATTTATGGGCAATTTGGTCGGCCTACTGAGGAAGCTATTCGGAAGCTTGTGACTAAATTTCGAACCCAGTTTACATTATTAGACATTAAACCACCAACACGCAGACGTAGAGTGCGGCTGTATCCGTCAGTGTTAGTGATGACCGTGAAATGTCGATTCGCCGCCGTTCGCAGCAATTGGGCCTCTGTTACTCCACTACGTGGAAAATTTTGAGACAGGATTTGGGTGTAAAATCTTATAAGATACAGCTGGTGCAAGAATTGAAGCCACACGACCTCTCACGTTTCCAATTTGGTGAATGGGCGCTGGCAAAGTTGGAGGAAGATCCACATTTTTATCGAAAAATTGTGTTCAGCGACGCAGCTCATTTCTGGTTGAATGGGTACGTTAACAAGCAAAATTGCCGCATCTGGAGTGAAGACCAGCCAGAAGCATTGCAAGAGCTACCAATGCATCCCGAAAAAATCACTGTTTGGTGTGGATTATGGGCCGGTGGCATCATCGGGCCGTACTTCTTCAAAGACGACAATGGCTGGAACGTAACTGTGAATGGCGAGCGCTACCGTGCGATGATAACAAACTTTTTTTTGCCCAAAATGGAAGAGCTGGACTTGGCTGACATGTGGTTTCAACAAGACGGTGCCACATGCCACACCGCACACGAAACAATGGCCCTATTGAGAGGCGAGTTCGCTGAACAGTTTGGGACCCGTCAATTGGCCGCCTAGATCTTGTGATTTAACGCCGTTGGACTATTTTTTGTGTGGCCATGTTAAGGCTTATGTCTACAGGGATAAACCAGCAACGATTGACGCACTGGAAGCCAATATTAAAGCATTTATTCGTGAGATACCGGCCGATATGTTGGAGAGAGTGTGCCAAAATTGGATCTTGCGCATGGGCCATCTAAAGCGGAGCCGCGGCCAACATTTACATGAAATAATCTTTTAACATTAAATTATATCGACCGTTCTATCGACTCAAATAAAGATTTAATCAACAAACAAATGGACGAACTTTGCGGTAATGAAAAAAACCATATATCGATTTCGGAACAAAGGACGTTTGGTAATTTTGGAGTTGTGTTTTATGCCTCGGCCGACGATGGAATGTGTTTATCTTATTCTTGTCAGAGGTAATGTACACAAGATCGTGCTAAGTAGCGACCACTTCGAAATATTGAACCGACAAGCTTGACAAAAAGCAAATATATTCAGTTTTTATTTTTTTCAAGTTCGATCCAAATGCTTTACAAAAAATATTTAAGAGTATTGACTCAATGTTTAAACGACAGATCTCTTCAAGAGTTTCCCTAGGTAATCTAAATTTTCACGACATTTATTAAATTAAAACTTTGAAAATAGCAATCCCCAGCCAGAGCCGGATTCAAAAATCTGTCTAGGAGGGGTGGTCGTAGGATTCATGTTCAGAGATGTATGGGCGATTGAACATTAAGGAGCGGGGTGTGGGGTAAGTCAAAGGGGGGTGGCGGTGCTGAGGAACGCATATTTAGCAAGGTAGTTTTCACACCAAGGTACGGCAATGGGCACCATTTTATGTAAAAAATGGCAGGGTGTATAGGGGTGTATTTCAGTAGCATAACACCAAAAACATTTTTTGGTTTGGTAAGAAGTGCTAATAACTTAAAAATGCTATGATGTTGGCCAACACTGCTATTCATCTTTTATCTGGATTTTTTTATCTTTCTCATTCAGCATTGGCGTACGCGTCTTCATTGGAGATGTTTGCCAAGAGTTAATAGTCTCTATTAAATTTTTAAATAACATCAAAGAATGTATTGATTAACATCAACAATATGTAACATCATAGAAAGCAAAAATCTGAAGTCTAGTTGAATACCCAAATTATTTAAAGTCGAGCAATGTGAAGTATACACCACTGTTATGTCCTTAAAAAATCGGAAAAGTCCAGGGTTCGATGGTATTAAAAGCGAGCATTTGAAAATTATAGCCGAGGACATAACAGAACCACTCACTTACCTAATCAACAAATGCTTTGAATCTGGCATATATCCCTCAATTTTAAAAAAAGGTAATATAATACCGATACATAAATCAGGAACAAAAACAGATGTTAACAACTATAGACCAATATCAATAATATCCAGTGTAGCAAAGGTTTTTGAAAAAGTTTTATCTGCTAGAATGATTCGATACCTCACAAAATTCAAAATTTTTATTGAAAATCAATATGGATTTACAGAAGGGAACGCTACATCGGACGCAATAACTAAAATTGTAAATCAAATACATCAAAATATTGATAACAGAATCCCTTCAATCTGCATTTTTGTTGATTTAAAGAAAGCTTTCGACACAGTTAATCACAAATTATTATTAGAAGCATTGGAAAGAATTGGTTTCAGAGGAAACGCGTACTCACTGCTCGAAAGTTATTTGTCAAATCGCCCACAATCTGTGCAGATATCTGGATCATTCAGTAAAGAAATGTATATTAAGTGTGGTGTCCCACAAGGAACTGTCTTAGGTCCGCTGTTATTCAATATATATTTAAATAATAATTTCCAAATTAATTGTGTTGGCAAAATAACTAGTTTTACAGATGATACTGCAATATTATATGAAGGCACTGACTGGTCTGATCTGAAAAATGTAATTGAAAATGATTTTATCAAAATTATTCGGTGGTTTAACAGTAGAAAATTAAGCATTGACTACTCTAAAACACATTTTTTACCATTTGGATCTTATGCTAGATAGACATCTGCCAAATTACACAAATTTCTCCTTCAATATTAATGATCAAAAAATGCAAATTAATAGAGTGCTCAACATAAAATACCTTGGAGTGGTCTTGGATCCTCACTTACGATGGGACATCCATGTCAATTATATTTTAAAGAAAGTTAGATTTGTATCCTACAAAATTAAATACCTTGGGAATATATTGACAGAAAAATATCTTCGAACATTATACCATGCACTGATTGAGCCTCATCTCACATATGGTATATTAGCATGGGGAGCTGCATGTTCCTCACATATCTATAATTTAGATGTTTTTCAAAAAAGTATTCTAAAAATGATATTTAAAAAACCGAAACTTTATCCCACTGAAAAATTATACACAGATGTTCGAATGTATGATATAAGACAGCTTTATTTCTCACACAGTATCACTCGCTACCATAAATTTGTAAACACCGACCAAAAAATTAAACATAATCATTATACCAGGTACAAAATTCGTGGCACAGTAGTTCCTCAACCGCATAAATCTATAATGCAGCGATCATATCTCTATTTAGCGCCTAAATTTTATGAAATTATACCTAAAGACTTAAAAGATTTACGTTTACGTTTCGGAAATTGTTTCAAAAGAAATTTAAAAAAGTGGCTACATTCTATATCTAGGACTGAAATTCATAAACTCATAAATACGAACATCAACTAAATACATAATCTACTGTAGCTAATTTTTGTCCTTTTTTGTCATTTGCATTCTACAGTTTCAACTTAAATTATTGGTCCATGTACAGGCGATGCCTTCTATTGGGCCTGTTTTGATTTTATATTTATTTACTCATATTGTTTGTTATCTTTGTACATTGAGTGAATAAATATTATTATTATTATTAGTATTTATTTATGACAAAAACGAAATTTTTACGGGATACGTTTTCCCACTCTTCCAGTGTTTGAGAAGCATTTTGTCTTGACCGCACTGAAAATTTGTTCAATTATGCTTAGGTCTGGAGACTTTGATGGTAGAGGCAACAATGTAACATTATTCTCTGACAAAAAGTTTGTAACCGCACGAGCTCTGTACGGCCTGCGTTACCATCGATGAAGACAAAGTCCTCCCCAAAATCTTGTTCAAAAGGTACAACAATATTGTTTAAAATGTTGTCCATATAAACTACAGCATTGGCTGTCATGTTCGAAATAAAAAGTTCGGTTTTACAATTGTACATAACCCCAGCCCAAACAGTTCCACCAATCGACTCTTGTGTGATGTTTTGAAGGACCCTACTATCCCCGATATCCGGATACCTACGCCTTAAACGGTATATTGAGGACCGATTAACATTATAAATTAAAGCCACACCATTCACTAAACGACCTTCTCCCAATAATCTCATACACTTCTCTCTATTTTTTTAAAAAAAATTCGACGCATTTTTGAGAAAATAATATTATACTGTCAAGTATACAGTCAATATTATTGTTACTTCGCAATTGCATCTATGAGGTGTAGGTGGTTAGGGTGAAAGATATTTATTGCGGAAGTTAAAAATTCGATAATTACTTTCGAAAAAATTGAGATATAACTTTTTTAGGATAGTAAGAAGTAACATACTTTTCTCCGCATGACGCTCTAACTCTATTCAAGGCCCAGATAAGGCCTAGCCTCGAGTATTGCTCACAAGTTTGGGGTGCTGCCGCCCCGACTACATCATTTATGCTCGATGCTGTGCAGAGGAGGGCTGTCCAGACGGGCTTTGCTCCTCGAAGCTCTATTACATGATGCCGCCGCGCGATGTCCCTGCCAGACAGACCCGCCTGACTTTGGCCTCACATCCTAACGGTGTCGAACTTCGTACATCCAGAACTAGCCGATACGACCGCTCCTTTCTCCCGAGGGTGTCGAGATTGTGGAACAATCTACAAGAGAAAGCTT